TGTGTGTGTGTGTGTGTGTGTGTGTGTGTGTGTGTGTGTGTGTGTGTGTGTGTGCGTGTGTGCCACACTACAAGGACCTAACTGATCAAAAACAGGCCTGTATATCTGGAGGACATTGTGTGTCTTGTTCACATCCTCACTCTGCTCTGGGCTACTCTGTGTGGGCTTGATAACACTGCTTTGCACACACAACCCCACGGACATACTGACAGAGATATAGGGAAATAGGCAAGGCATATAAGCACTATTGTGTGTCTCCTTGTTGCATGTGTAATTGGAAAACACTATTAATACATTTTAGAGGAGACATGGGCATTGTACAATATTTTTAACAGATAAACATGACCCCTGTCCCATTGCATCTCTACAGATCCATACCAAATCACCATGAAATAGGAAGCCGGGACCTCCACCCTCACTTAGGCGCCCCTCCACCCCTCATCTCCCCCAAACCTCCTCAGCCACCACGTGAACACCACCCTACCACCACCTTGTGGAACCCTGCATCTCTTATAGAAACCCCCTCAGAGTCCAGACGTAACCACGAGCCCTCAGGGATGGGACACTACGAGCTCAGTCGGCTGCCCCCGGGGCCCTCCAAATATGAGGATGGAGCACGAAGGAGAGAAGGGGGAGCAATGGAGAAGTATCCCACAATGAGAGGTCCTCCGGGCCTGCTGGAACCCAGTACATTCCTTGCTGATCTGGAGAAATCTACCCACACCTTCTTCAACCACCAGAGGGCATCACTGTCCCTGTCCAGCCAGTATGAACTGGAGGGAGCCATGAAGAGCAATGCTGGACTTAAGAGCCTCCAGGGACACCCGGGGCACAGTAGACACGGACAAGGGCTAGGAATGGTCCCTGGGCCGGGGATGGGACAGGTAGCCACAGTGGGGATGGGTCCAGACACGATGCTGATCTTTGACGAATTCCTACAGCAGCACCGAAGGCCGGTCAGCAAGCTGGACCTGGAGGAGAAGAGGAGGAGGGAGGCCAGGGAAAAAGGTAATCGCACTGTAGCACTACACCTGATCACATGCTTTGAAAAATCATGGAATTGATCTGGTTTTATTCAACAGTCAGCTTTATTAAAAGGATTTTAAAGTGAGGTGTCGGTAGTGACCTCTTTGCTTGCTGCAGGTTACTACTATGAGCTGGATGACTCGTATGATGAGAGTGATGAGGAGGAGGTGAGATCCCATCTCAGGAGAGTAGCAGAGCAGCCCCCACTCAAACTGGATGACTCCACAGAGGTAAAACACCCGCCAACACGTATATACGTTTTCTGTGCTTTCCGCAAGCACTCGTGACTAAACATAAGATTTCTTTTGCCTCTCTTGCACAGAAATTGGACTTCCTGGGAGTGTTTGGCCTGACCACGGTGGGCCGGCGAGAAGAGCTGGTGCAGCAGAAGAGAAGGAAAAGGAGGAGGAGGCTCAGGGAGCGCAGCCCCTCGCCACCTTTCTCGCACTCAAAACGCACTCCCCCTCCTCCTCCCCAACTTAGCACGCGCTTCACCCCTGAGGAAATGGACCAAGCACCAGAGCTGGAGGATAAGAAGCGCTTCCTCACCACGTTCAAACTGTCCCATGTCACTATACAGCAGAGGAAAGGTAAGAGAATTTATAGTAATACATAAATCTTTAGTGTTGCTTACCAATCGTTTTGTTTAATTATGTCTCAAGAAGTATGTTAGATAGATAAACTATGGCTCTGTTATTGTTTAAGAAAAGAATCAGTGTGCCCAGGAAGCTAACTCCACTTTAATGGTAAAATATCAGAATTAAGCGAAGGAAAATGTTTTCAGTGTGCCTCAGCAAGCTAGTTATAATCCACGACATTACAGAACTGACCCAGTTCCCTTTCCATGCCATACAAACATCCCCATCCATTCCTCATACTCACGTCTCTTCTCTTTGACATCTCATTTCAGCAAAGTTTAGAGGACTAATTGCATGCTCACTTAGCTTTTAGAAAGTAGTAATTCTCCACTTGCTGACACTTCACTTCAGCTGAGCTCTGCCTGCTTTGCATGCGCTGCGTTGACTCAAGCCTTTGTAGGGAAATCATAAAGGGGTCAGACAACGATTGTGTCACCCTCAAACCCCTGTATTAGATGCAGCATATTTTAAGGAATGTATGCATGATGTAAAATGCCTTACATTGCCCCAGTCAGAAAGGTGGACTTGTGTCAAGGTTCTGTTTGTAGACACTTTCAGTAATACGCACACACACACGCTCACATACTGACAAGGACTTGGGAGTGACAGCAGTGGGTTAACAGTGATCTGAGTCTAATCCTGTTGATTTACTGTTTGCTGCCTACAGATGGCAGCGCACTGCATCCCACGCTGTCAGGCCACACTCAACCTCTTTACACACACACACACACACACACACACACAGTTTGTGAGTAAGTTACACACAGACAGGACTAACTAATTCTCTGTCTCTTAGATAATGAAAGGGTGGTTGAAATGCTTCAGGCAATTAAAGAAAAGAGCGTAACATTGGACACCATCAGACATGCCCCTCACCCGCTGTGTAAGAGTCCTCCAGCACAGATTTCTGGTGAGACACATGCTAATGAACATAACCATACATACTTTCTCATCCCTAATTATCCTTAATTATTCCTTAGTATTGGGTTAGGGTTATCTGGCGGTCTATCCTTAGTGATGTGGAGCTTGACCTCATCATGACTCGCGTATGTTCAAATGATTGCAGATTCTGCATTTGCCCAGCCTTCCTCTGAATCAGAAGGCCACCACAGTGTCAGACCTTCTAGCCCCTCCTCACATTGCCCAGCGTCCCCCAATGGTCACCCAAAACCCCTTGGGGAGACATTAAGACCAAAGGAACCCCCTTCTCCAGCTGTCTACCCAGACAAGGCCCGGGGGCCCAGTGAGGGACCGGTCTCTAAGAGGAGCTCCAGCCTACTGAACAGCTTGCGGCCTCCACACCCCCTGCAGGCTAAAGAGGGCCCTCACAGCATCAACGGACGCACCAAACCCTGGGACAGCTTCACCCCGGAGGAATTTGCCCAGCAGTTCCACGAATCTGTGCTTCAGTCCACTCAGAAGGCTCTGCAGAAGCATAAAGGTAAACAGCACAAGCCTCGTTAATAGATATCTGTCTGCGATGGGGACTAATATGCTACAGGTCTCCCAGGAACAGACAATTTCCCGGAGCCCAGGGTGATGTCTTCAAATGATATTCTCTGTCCAACCAATTGTCCAAAAAGCAGAAAATCTGCACATCTGAGAATCTCGAACGGACAAATGTTTGGTATTTTTGCACGATAAATTAACTTTATAGACAGTTTTGTTTATAATATTATTCTTTGATCAATTTGTCATAATTTCTAAGCACGTAAGACATGAATTCATATATATATTGTAGCCATAGACTGCACGTCATTAAGGTCACACTTACACAGATCTGCTAGATCGTCATTGAAAATGTCCTGGAACATGATCTCTGAAAGAGTGGGAACTCTGATTTTATGACAATTTATAGACCAAACAATTACTGTTAATTAAGAATGGAAATAATTGTTATTTGTATGATTAATCAACTAATCCTTTCACCACTATTGAAATTAATACAAATGTATGAAATACTACAAAACCTCCCTTCTCTCCCATCTTGTCCTTTAGGTGGAGCCACAGGGATGTCGGAGACGTCCCACCTCCAGGAGTCCTCTGTTCACTACAACATTCCAGAGCTTCAGAGCGCCCCTGGTCGGCCACCGCATTCGCAATCTCACTCAAATGCACATTCGTTTCCCCATCCACTCTCACTTGCTCACCCTCAGCCCAACGGGCAGCACTTCTCTGTAGCCCTTCACCGGGAGGCCTCTGGGACGAGGGAGGACCTGTCTGCTCCAGATGACTCTGAGGAAGAAGAGGATGAGGAGGAAGAGGAGGCTCCTGCTTCCAAGTGGCAGGGGATTGAATCTATATTTGAAGCTTATCAGGAATACGTTGAAGGTAAGCAGCTACAGAGAACATGCAGTGATGCTGGTGAAACTCTCATAACTCTGCTGTTTTTATGGCTCTTCTACCCCGTTTAATATGTCAATATCTCATTGTGTAGGATATATGTATCAATCAAAGCCTTTTAAAAACACACTATATCACAGGTGTATTTTATTTCCTTTTTTAAACATGAAGACTTATGCATCGGAAGGGTCCTTTAGTGGTAAATTAACCTTGTGGCATCTGCTGTAGCACATGGTTTGGATTCTGCAAAGTAGCCAATGCTCACAGCTTTTTTTCCTCTAATACCCAACTCTCGTTTTTATTCTTCCCCATTTTCTCTTCTTCAATGTTGTCCTCTAGAGCAAGGTTTGGAGCGACACGTGTTGCAGAGCCAGTGTCGAAGACTAGAAGCTCATAACTACAACCTCAGTCTGACTGCTGAGCAGCTGTCTCATAGCATGGGGGTAAGAAACATGCGCACACACCACTTATTGTGAATTCTAATACACTTTGCATCATCTCTAAGCCCGAACTCATCAATACCTACCCCTTAACATGTCCCTTCTCCACACACACTTCCTTGAGTATGAATTAGATACACCTCTAATAATCCTTGAAATATATGCTTTCCCTCTCGGAAAATGATGAAACATCTCATACAGTGTGTAACATGAATGAACACACCATAACGTTGTGGTTTCTTCTTTGTTTTTACCCACCGTTGTATTGATGCCCTGTAACAGAAATCATATCCTCATTGTTCTTTTTGTTTACTTTATATTTCATGTCTTCCCTCTCTGCGTCCCTGGTCGTGTAGGAGATGATGTCCCAGAGACAGAAGCTGGCGGTGGAAAGGGAGAAGCTACAAGCGGAGCTGGAGCACTTCAGGAAGTGTTTGACGCTGCCACAGACACACTGGCCGAGAGGCGGCCATTACAAGGGCTACCCTCCCAGGTGACCCCAACATGCTGACCCGATGGCCCTGGGCCTACTGCCCTTTCAGACTGACACCCAGAGTTTATTTTTCATGGCCGGGTCCACGTGTCTCCATGGAGGAGAATATGGCTGGCTAGATAGGATGAATGAATTGAGTGAATGGATGAATGAACGGTGAATGCAGAGGAGACAGGACCATACAGTGAAGGATAGACAGTCTTTGGATTGTGGCCAGCCAGGGACTGTGCCACGAGCCACTAACGTGTGCCAATGTAGCCAACCCAGAGAGCATGGGACAGGAGTACCTGAAGATCAACACACACACACACCTATTTGTCACACATGCTTCAGTCCCCGCTGCTCTCTTGTTCAGTCCTTGCGTCCCTTCACCGCCACAGCTACACAGACAATCCTGCCAACGAGGGAGCAGCTACCCCAAGAGGGGTGTCGTCAAGAGACTCGGAATGCTTCAGAGGCTTCTGGTCAGTCGGGACTGATTTTACCACAGTGGCCACATGAGCTTTTGAACTGGAAATGCACTTAAGAATAAAAGCTGAAGAACTACCTGGTGGTACTGTGTTACAACAAAGAACTGTTCGAATTAGGGAAGAACTTAGAAAATGCACATTTTTTGGAAAGAATTAAGGAAATGTTTTATTTCGAAATAGAAAATTTGAGAATAAGAATTTTAAAAGGTGCTTCAGCCTTGTATTGTAAATAATATGAAGACTTAAAAGATTTTGTATGTTTTTATTACTTTAATCATTGTTCTTTTAAAGAAAAAGCTTGCCATTTTTATATGTTTATGCTTTTTTTTTGTGGGGGGTTGGAAAAGAAAGCCTTGCTTTTAGTGTTTGTACTGCTGCTGGCCAGAACAGCTCATTTAGAGACATTTAACAGAGAGAGAGAGAGAGAGAGAACAGGATACACCCCTCTTACTCCTGACCCAGCCACAACCACCTCATCTGGCGTCTGATCTCAGCAAAGCTTACTTAGAGGTCTTGAGACATGGCTCCCTCCCTCCCTTCACAGCAACACGTCTCTCTGTTTTAATGCCCATCAACATCACTGCTGCTGTTAGCTTGTGATATTCTCTTACAGAAACCAGTTGAGATCCACAGTGACAATATAATTCGTTTTTCTTTTTCTTTTTTTAACTTTGGTCACTTGACATACTTGATTTTGTAAAGACATGAAGAGTCTCTTAAGCAGCCAGCTGATGAAACTGGTTCTTGATGCTTTATCCTACCATTGGACCTTTCACTTCACTTAGTATGGCGTGATATAGCATTAGACTCAATCAATGAGACAGTTTGCATAAAGTTACGCCTTACAAGTCCTTATCAGCAGTCATGAGGACACTGTGCCAAAATGAAAAAAAAAAGGTAGGATTTTGGATTTTTAATTGAGTTGCAATTAGGTAGCCAAACCTTCAAACCAGAATAGCCATCTTCCACTGCTGAATACCTTTGATTCCACTCATCTCCTTCCTGCATTTACCCCTTTTTTTTTTTTAGGACTCCCACGATCCAAAGTTCCCAACATGTATAAATAACAGACTGGAAATCACACACACATAAGTTTTCAAACCGGGCATTTTGTAGTACACATAAAATCAGATGGGTTTAATGAACTAGCCTCGTATACATTTAAGTCGTCCTCCCCGTCAGCGCTGACCTGACGTTCTACCCTGTAACTCTTGTTGTCTTAAGGGGCTGCACATGTTATAGTGGTGGGACAGTTGCTGTTAAAAGAGTGGGTGATTTCAGTATTTGAGTAAAAAAAAAAAAAAAAAAAAACTGAATTTATAAGAACTGAAGCACATACGGTATGCTAATTACAAGTGCCTCAAGAATTTGGGAGCATGTGAATGAGTTGCAGTCCACATGATGGGCTACACACATAACGCACACATAACGCCAGTGATCAGGGACTTAACATTTTCACATTCAAGCGTCTACTGTACGTCTCACACCTTTCAAATATGTGCATGCCAAGAACCGACACAGAATTCCTTTATCTAAAATGCATCTCTGAGAACCAATTCAATCGCGACACCTTTTTTTAATAAATGAGGCCCAGTTCAGAGGATCCGGTGGATGCAGAGCGTAGTCTGTCATTTTTTACAGAGCAGAAGAGGCTTGCTGAGGTAAGCTGCCAAGGCGCACATCAGTGTGCGTCTTACCCAGCCTTCCTGCGTCTCCAGCCCACGCACGCCCATGCAATAGCCCCATCACTCAGTGGAGGATGTCTAGATGCTGTGAAATCCTGTTTTTAAAATGTACTTGTTTGAATTCATTGTAATGTAATATATTCTTTGTTGAATGTAGTAATTAGGTATTTATGAATATATGGCTGTGATTTCAGACAAAAAAGAAAATAAAATATTTCAAAAATGTTAAATGTCAACCGTTGTCTGTTTGTGGTGCTGGCTGGTGGACGGTAGAAAGCTAAAGACTCGGTTCTGTTGTTGGCAAAGATTATTTTTAGATCTGTTAGCATTTAAACACCATACCTTTAACCAATATTAACTTGCCACTGGCTTTAAATAAAAAATGTAATGGGTCTTGGTTAGAATGTGGGCATCCCTTCACCCCACAGGACATGCATTTTAGGTTTTAGAAATAGTTCTTTAGTTGCCCTCCTAAGCACTGATCTCAGAGCTGGAGTTGATCCTGAGATGCTGCGCTGCGGTTCCCCGCGGCTCTTAAATATTTAGGATGGGTCAAATACAGCGCAAGTGTCCCCACATGAACTTATAGACTTATTTATACATTACTATTCAGAAAAATAATGAAAATGCTTTTTTTTCCTTATTTTTATCAGTAGGAGTTTAAATTGCCCAGTATGCTAAACCTGACATTTTATTCTAATAGGCAGACATTTATTTCATCCTAAAATTGAATCACACAGTTGTTACTACTACTGTAGTCATTGTTTTCTCTATAAATTGTCCAATAAAAAGCCCACAGTGAATTCTCTAAATGTTACTACTTAAGTATATACACCTGAAATAAGCAAGTTTATTGTGACACGTACAGACATACATAAAAATGGTGGCAATTTTAATCTTCAGTGAGCATCCAACATGACATTAAATATGCACATATTTCAAACAGCAGATACATTTAAGGCTTTTCATATGCACGGGGAAATCACTCAAAAACAAATGTAAAACTCAGTTAGCTTCAATCACATATTAACATAAATCTGGTGAATTAAATGTCTTCCGTCTTCTGAGATCCTGGTGAGAAAGTTCAACCCTCAGTCAAAGGCTGATCAGATGCTCAGTCCAAGATCCAAATCTGTTGCCTCCATCTTGGGGGATCAATAGTCTGTGAACTGTCCTTTACTTGAACCAGGCTGCAGATTGGAACGTAGTTTGTACATGCAGTTGAGAGAGTCGAGAAGAAACGCTCGTATGGTGTTGATCTCCATCAGGGTCAGGTTGTCCAGCTTTAGAGGGAAGGAAGCAGAGTGAGACAGGAGACGTGGTCAGTTTTAAATAAATCTAACATTCTTTCTCCAATGACTGCAGTGAGTGTGCTCACATCTGCTGGATCTTTATATCACAGGGAAACAGGAAGCCGTAGGGCCACAAGATGAGGGGATTAAAGGGAAACTGCCCCCGAGGGTGGCTGTTAATCCTGTTCAACTTTACCTAATGCATGTTCAGAGCTTTTCATCTCTTGAAGATGCACAAAAAGAATTACACGGTGCGTACATTTTTCTTGAATTTCAACTAAACCTCCAGTGGCCATATGAAATTAGACCGTAAATGTATGCAGCGATGTTACCAAAATCTATGCAACTGACACATTTTCTTTATTGTTGATTAATCTGTCGATTATAAATCCGTTTAGTCTAAAGAAAAATGACAGGTTCCATCACAGGTTCCCGGGATAAAAGCTTCACATTGCTTGTTCTTTTGGACCTCTACTCCAAAGCCAAACCATTATTAGTCCACTATCACATCAGAGTAAGAAAACCAGCAAATATCCACATTCAAGATGCTAAAACTACTGAATTTTGGGCACTTTTGAATGCTGGATAAGTTTCTGTCAATTGACTAATTGTTAGAGCGCTCCAACATCCCAGTGTGTGCATCTTCATGGTCAGTTTTACCTTGGCATGAGCCTCCAGCTGACTGATGAAGCTGTCGGCGGAGAGGCGGAGTTTGGCAATACGCGTGTCCCAAATGTCTTTGACCAGCGTGCGGATCTCGTCTGCTTTAGGGATGTTGTCAGACGCACTACAGAGACACACAAACCACCATGTGATGTAGAGCGCCACATACACCGACGGAAGGTCCTAATCCTGCACGGGGGATCACTTGAGTTGAAATGACTCACTAGTTCAGCAGCAGTTTGGTCAGCTCCATGTAATAAGGACTGGGAACAGGCGCGAAGGTGTCCTCTTTCCTCTCAAGCTCTCGTATCTCCTCCAGTTTCTCTGCAAGTCAAAAACAGTGGTTTAATAAAACACATTGCAATATGGAAGAAATTAGCATACACATCAGTATCTCTCAGACATCCCAGTCATAACAGTTCCAATTAGAGTTGTTAAAGACCTTGGGTTTTGGCTTGGGGCTGAGTGCCAAAGAAAGGGTAGAGAAGTCAGAAACTATAAAGAGATGGACTGATGTGTTGTTAGTTTTTGTCTTTTGTGGTATTTGTTGATAAGAAAACTCCAGAATAATGCCGGCCCTCATAACAAGGTACCTACAACCCATTTAACAATTCAAAGTGTAAATAACAACACAAATGTTATGAATGATTTACGTGTGCAAACTAAATGCAAATCCTCTCATTAATACAATGTCTACTTCTGATTCTGGATGAATGGAGTAATCTTAAATCTCTTCTTTTTCTTTTTTCTTTTTTTTTTTACTTCAAATCATCATGTCTAATGCAAACATTGCAAAATAGTCCAAAGTTTGTTTCAGCATTTGGAACTTTACTTTGGATTGTGAAAGCAGTGAAGAAGAAGGTTTAAGGTTTAAGGTTTAACCTCCTGAAACCTCACAGACCACAGAGCAGAGATGAAAACACAAGTTGTGTGCTAAGCGTCAAACAAACACAAACTCTAGTGGAGATCCCAAAGTGTCCAAGGATACTAGAAGCATGAGGCTTCAGATACAACGTGTTGGAATGATGCTCGCAGACATATTCCGTGTGGTGCAGCCATGAAGCCGTGGAAAACATGGAGTCTTGGGTTTCAATAGGTCACCCAATATTAGGATTATATACCTTGAATAAAGAGCTGTAACTCCTTAATACAATATATAGATTGTATCCTTTATTTAAATACTTATTTGCATTATATATATATATCTCACCAACATCCATCCACGCAGGAGGAACAATTCTACACTTCTGTCTCTGTTTGAAGTTAAGAGCCAGCCACACAGGAACGTCAACAGGCAGGCCGGGGTTGAAGGGACCCAGGTCCCCCTGAGGACAGAAAGACAGAGTTTATTGCGCAACAATATGTTGCAGATTACAGCTGGTGCTTTGGCTTCATTAGTTGTCGTTGCACTGGTGCTTCTGACCCATACAACACACAGTGAAAGCCTGAATCCCCATTGCATGACAATTCATCATCAGACTGTAAGGTTTGTTATGCTAGCGTTACTGAGGCTAACGCTGTGTGAGTGATCAGTATCTGTTTAACCGTCTTGGCAAACACACTTACTTACCCCGATCAGATAGATCTTGTCCAAACTGAAGTTCGGTATTATCTTCACCGTCTCTTTCTCGGCGAGGAACTCCACCTCCGAGGGATCCATGGCTGTCTGTCTGGCTAGACAGTTTAATATCCCCAAAACTTTTTTTACCCGAGCTCACATCTGCAACTCCACTTGTTCCCGCGCTGGAGCTCACATGAACGTACAAGGAATACGTAGGATGAGACAGCTACGTCACCAACTGTCGCTCAGTGGCCACTTTGTACCGTGTGCACTTTATCCGCTTCGGTTTATTTGCATGTAACGTTAATCCTCTGCTCTTGTCGTATCTGAATCTGTAGAGAATTTGTCCATTTTAAGACTTTTAATTGGCGCGTCAGTAGCTGGTTTCACTGACGACACTGACCATTCCTTAAGTTTTTTCTTTGTCCGGCCCGGAAGGAAGAAGTGGGTCATGTGACATCAACGACAGTTGCAGATAAGCGCCACTAGGTGGTACTATTGAGCAGGTGATGAAGCCATGCGAATCAATTTTACTTTAGTAAAGGTGCGTACTATCAAAATGTACTTAAATTATACAGAATGTCCCCTTTTGAAATGTAATTTTTGTATTATATTTTATCATTATTACTTATATTAGTGTAAGTGGCAGTTTGACGTTGTTGAATAGTTGGTTATTGGTCAGTGTGGAGGAAACTTGAATTACTTCATATTTGCTGCTGCTGTATTGCAGTTTAATCTGTTATATTGCACGTTATAAACTGATCATACGGTTTATATGTAAAATCTGTTTGTAAAAATATTTCCCTCTGACATGTATCGATGATAATAGTATCGTTAAATATGGTCAGTTAGCAGTGTTTGTCATCCACCTACTGTGTTGTACTGTATTATGTTGTTCATAGTTTCAACATATAGCTGTTTAACCAATAATGTCTTTCAAAACTGTCCCGTTTGATATTTTACAAATGAGAATCTTTTTATTTTTGGACTGTTGGTTCTGTAGTTCTGTGCTTTGTTGTCACGTGTCCCAGACAGCTAGAGATTCAGATTCACACATTAGATAATAGAAAGAGTTTATGTGACAAGTTAACATCGTTGTACTGGAGACACAAACACACACAGAACGGATGATTAGATCAACGACAATGGTGCCATCTGTCCACCAGGTGTCAGAATTCCCCTTCCCTCTAAATTCTAACCGTTTAAATGAGCTGCTGTAACATCTGTGGAGTAAAACCGCATCTGGAGAATAGACACACGGGTAGGTATGAATCTTTCTGCAGAGGTCAGGACTGTGCATGTGAGGGTCAACTGACCACAGTTAAACAAAGGCCTATTTAAATGCATCCATGCAGCATTAAATTAGCCCCAAATAGATCCTGAACTTTAGCTTCAATCTGATTTAAGAAAATTGACCTGACTTTTTTTGTTGAATAACATCTGTAAGAGTAAATTATTCATATGTTTGCCTTTGTGTTTACCTGGTGTTGCACATATTTTGTACAATGGGTAGCAGTCACCTACAATGGGTGAGTTTTTAAACCGGACAGAAATGCAGACTAGAAATTAAACCAAATCCTGAAGCCCTGTCAGTAAATCAACCTTTTCAAGTGTTAAAGGTAAATAAATACAGAGTATCACCTAGTAAAATAATTTACTAAATGACATGAGTCTGACAAACAACTTGGTTCCAAAGGGGATTTCATTGTACATTCAGTTTATAAAATGTATGTAAAAAATGTGACATCCACAGCGTTATTTAATAGCTCTTACTGATTAATTCTAATTTGAAGTACAAAGGTAGTTCTGTATCTATAACATCAAGTATTCAAATGTTTTAACATTACATATTAAATAGTATGATTTAGAGCAGTCAATGAAGTATAAATACAAACTATTTTCTACTTCTTACAACAGATAGAACACATAAAACAAAATTCACAGATTCCTTCGATCTGATTTGACGTACTGTATTTCTGAACAAATCTTCCAGAGGAACAATCAAAAGTCAATACGCCAACATGTGTATCATCAGAAGAATGACATTCTGAAGTGTACCAGGAACAACAGCAGGAGACATCCATCATAGAAACATTTGCATAAGAATTAATAATTTAAAAGTCATATCTTTAGATAAGACAAAGATAATATAAGACAAAACATTTTCATGATTACTGCCTCTCCGGTTCATCTATATTCTTATCTTGTTAATAAATAAACTGGGCTTAACACAAACTACACCTATAATAGAGAATGTGTATCTATATATATCATATCTCAGTAGTACAATCATCTCCTTACATTTTATGATCTATGTATGGCTACTGGCTGTAATATTAAAGGAGGAAAAACTTAATATTATACTCTAGAATTTAAGTTTTTTGCACACAACAGTGAATAAACACAAACTATTGTAGGAAAAAAAAAACATCAAAGTTGCATTTAAATCACATAATTGCCTTCATCACCTCAGCATCACCTTGTAAAGGTGGACACATGCTAACAGAGCACATATGGCGCTTGCTCTTGACAGATTTTGGGCCTAACCGGTCAGTGCTCCGCAGGTTCCTCTCAGTAGGAGTGGCTTTACATGGAACAAAGATCATGCGTTCAGCATTTTCATACTCCTGTGCTACACGATAAGTAGCATCATGCATGCTGAAACGGCAGAAACATTTATCTATGTGCAGGGTACTTCGGACTGACTGGCTTAGCACAAATCCAGGACGGACTTGTTGATCACAGGGTTGGTCCAGTCATTCCTCAGATCATCCAGGTGATTGTCAAAGTCAATCAAGTTCTCGTAGGACCGGCCCTCTAACAGAGCAGATGTGATCTTCTGTGCTTCGCTCCAGTCCTCAAAACAGTCACTGGAAGGCAAAAAACATCATTTTGGGATTAAACACCTCAAACATTATCTAGACAATGCACATTATTCTACTCGTTAAGAGAACACAGGGAGGTTGTGTGACAGAAGCTGTGGTTGAGGTTGCACATATAACGCAGTCTCTAGAACAAAGAGCAACTTACAAGGTTACTTCTCTGCTTTTCCACTTGTTTTCATGATGGTCATAGATGTGCACGATGGGCTCAAAACAGCTCATTGTTAATCTACTATTGTCCACCTGAGGGATAAAACAGAGAAATCACAAGAGATTTAGTAGCATACAGACCTGTTATGTATAGCTTTACACAACCACACCCGTGTCCGACATGTTTTAGGGAACTTACTACCAATTATGTATACTTTACAATGCTGCTAACCATTACAATAAAATATAGCATTTTAGATTGTGTTTTTTCTAACATCTTCCAGGCAGCCAAGTGCATTCATTTCATCTGTACTTTATTTAAAAAATCTGTTAACAGAAACTTACTTTATGTATGCAAGCAATCTGTGAACATATTGTTGCTTTTCATTAATATAACACTAACAGAGCACAGACAGGCTGCAGGGTCAGCGCATGTAGGAGCTAGTGGGATGAGTCAACATCCCAAACTTGAGAAAGCTGATTAACAGCAACCTAATCAATGCAAGAACAAACTCACATTATCCTTTTTTTAATGCAGCTACATAACACATATCAGATTGTGGAGCTAATGCTTGATGTGACAAATTAACCTATTTCAGACTGTCAGACTGCAAATACATGTCTACATACTGAACTAAAGGTAGGATGAACACATTTGTTAAACTAAAACAGCAAAATCAGAGTCAGCAGTAAAGCATTTGCACAACTTCCGGGAAGTGGATCAAAACATATAATTCATTGACACCGGTCTAAATCATTTACTGTTACCATAACAATTGCTGCTTCGCTGAAGTTCTCAGAAATCCTGGCAGCCACTTTTTCTGCAACTTGGTTTGGTCTGCAAGAGAAGAGGACCAAAAGTAGTTTGGGGCATGGTTTATTACTAGTTGTTTTCTTGGAACAGCAGGGTGTTTGTGTCCATTCTGTATCGTCTGTACCTTGAATCCTGTGAGCGTTCATTGGCTTGATAATATCCAGCAATGACGTAATTATTTTCTTTACACCAAGTATCAATCTGAGATGAACCATGAAAGAACAGGACAGCATAGGTCAGACCAACAACAGAAAAAAAGTCCACTTTATTAGGGACACAAGGCTACAATGAACTCTTTCTAAAACGGCCCTGCAATAAACTTAATGTGTATAGAGTACTTAGTGGTGCTATTTCGTTAAACTGCGAGGTGATTATAATATTTAGTCAACCCTCATTGGGGGAACAAGGGGAGCACGATATTAAAACCACCTGTTAGTAAGGCAGTGACATTTAGCGCAACACTAACTTCAGTCTATCAAATGACCATAAAGTTGAATCAAAACCACTATAAACGATTTAACGATAACAAAATCAGTACATTTAGTTTTGCAGTACTTGTGTATCAGACCGCCTTAGTTTAAGCTAGGTGTACCAAATAAACGTGGCATTGTTTTGTTTAACTTTACGGCTACTTACCAGTGTTAAAGCTACTTCTAGCATTGGTGCCAGAGCGAGAGTACCGTGAAACAGAGGCACACAGTCCACACACAAGATGGGTTCACCGTGGCTGTCTTTCTTTTTCTCCTTCGTCTTCTCTGCCACCAACAATCCATTCACGGCGCAGTGAGAGTACTTGGCAGCATGTAGAACCATTTTACAGTAAGCCTGACTAGTCAGCTGAATAGGCATGTTGATGAGAAAATCGGCGGAATCGGTGAAAAGAAAAATAGATCCTAAGAAGTTGAGTGGCTACACGATGAGACGAGACTGCTGTCTGCTACGGTTAGCTAACGTTAATGCCAACATAAAAGTAGATATCTACCTCAGCAGTCACCTGACTAACACGGACATGTAAGCGTTACAATTATCTAAAATGACAATAGTCTTTTCTACGCAAGATTCAATCCGGTGTTACGAAATCTAAGCAAATATCGCGTCCACCTTCCTCTCGTTCCTGCAGCACCGGTGGTGCCGTAAATGAGAACGGACATGCCGTAAAATCAGATCGCAAAGCATCATCCTTCCGGTCTGTTCGCCTCCTCGTAACACGACTTACGTCTTTCCGGTCACTATCAAACTTCCTTTAAGAGCGTCGGTGTACGGGAGCAAGGAAGAGAAAGTAGGTTGTATTTTTTTTTTTTTTTTTTTTACATCAATAGCCTTCTTCTAACCGTGTACATCAAACTTTACAACTAACACACATTGTGATATTGTACATATTCAAAGCGAAGTAATGGCCCAACGTTAAGTGACAATTTCAACCGAAATAATCAGTTGTTCACGAGTGACTTTGTCAGATTGGACGGAAGCTAGGACGGGCTAATCTACCGGGTAGCTTTAGTTAGCTTGTAGCATCAGATTTGTGAAGGCAGATAGTTGGGTGTTACAGTGTCTGTCATGGGCTCATATAAATACAAACTCAGCAAATGTGAAAGTATTGCGTGAATTATACAGTACTGGCTCATAGAACCTTGTATTTCCGTGATTGTTTTATTTGGGCGGTATGACCTTGTGTGTGCAGCTAACGCTAACATTAGCTTTGCTTTATAACTAACGGGAGACCTTTGGTTGGGAACAACAACAACGCAATCTAACCTATATACAGTCTATGAATTTAACCTAACGCACGTGCAAAGATATAGTTTGTTTAATGCCTTCTACGTGACTTAATGTGAATGCATGTAAAACATCTGTGAAATGCAGGAAATAATATTATATTATAGATTTGCAAACTATTAATTGTTCTTAAATATCCAACACCGGCTATGTGATCTTAACATGCGATTATCAATTTATCTTAATATTTTATATCTGTGGTCACCAGAAGAAACATGATAAAGTTTGAATACATTTAAGTTTGCTAATATCTTTCATATCACCTTTTCCACAGAATGCTAGCCTCCAGAGCCCTTCGCCTTGTTGGCAAACGTGCCATTTCCACGTCTGTCTGTGTTCGTGGAGAACATGGTAAGAGCGACTCAAACTGACTCTATTTTTGAGGATGGGATAACCATAGAGTTTGTGCCTCATATAATCATTGTTTTTTATGATTAAAACTCCTACATCGATGATTACCTTAGTACCACAGAACCAAAAAGCATGAATTTAAAATAAGTACCTAGTGACCTTTCCATAATGACTGTTAACCTCCTGCTTTTGGTGTATGTTTTAAAGTAAAGCAAAAACTAGAATTCAATGAAAATGTTTCCCCCCCCCCCCCAAATTATTAAGTGTTCATGTTACTTTATTTACACAAACATCACTTTTTCTGTTCGTCCCAACAACACATTTCCATTCTGTAATGTGCTTCAGTCACGTAAGAAGACACCTCTACTCTCCTCCAATCTCTTAACTAACTGACACCGTAGCTATGTACATCTGTCACTTTGCTTAAGTTGGATCCAAGCCAAGAATATGTGTGCCAGTGTACAGCTGATTGTTTTTATCGGCATACTTTCTAAAACAAAACATTTAATACTTATACACATATGTCAGAAAAGGATGGCATGCTTTAGGGCATTATGTGACAATGAAACTTATTTGTTAAGGCATTCTTTGTCATCTCCTGCAGGTGTTGCTAAGGTAGAGAACTACACTCTGCCGGCCTACTTTGACAGGCGGGAGAATCCCCTCCCAGATGTCTGCTATGTGCAAACCCTGAGTCCAGAGCAGGCGTCCCTGAAGGAGAAGGAGAAGGGCGCCTGGGCTGGACTCTCTGATGAGGAGAAGATTGCATGTATGTTTTTTAAAATGCTCCAATGTTCATAATTATTGGTCAAACTGATTTTGTTGTTATTTAGTAATGTGTTAATGGTGAAGTCATTTTCATCTATTACAATTGTAACCATCTAGATTTTGTGTTTCCAATGTTAGTGTACCGCATCAGCTTCAAACAGAGCTTTGCTGAGATGACCCAGGGATCGCAAGAGTGGAAATCTGTGGTTGGAGGGATGTTTTTCCTAGTCGGCTTCACTGGCCTGGTTGTGCTCTGGCAGAGAATGTATGGTATGTCTGCCAACAAGTGTAATGGCAAGATTTATAATTATGTGTCTGCAAAGCTGTTCAAGATTTGATGTAGTGAGGCCTCTTGTTTCCAATTCAAACAAAGATGAATGCAATTATCTGTGTTGGACTTGGTTGATGCAGTCTAGTTAAGCATACTACTTAACACATATTGTCTCTTTGCAGTGTATGGACCCGTCCCACACACATTGGCGGCCGAGTGGAAAGAGAAGGAGCTGCAGAGGGCATTGGACATGAAAATGAACCCAGTGGAGGGATACGCATCCAAGTGGGACTACGAAAACAAGCAGTGGAAAAAGTAAAGGACCCATAAGACCATAACCCACTTGAAGATAAGGGCAGACCAACTCAAAGATACAAGAATACCCATATTTCTGTATCTATCAATTGTTCACATTACCTCAGTCTCTGCATTTTGGAAGGCCTCTTCCTCTTATGTTCATTGTGTATTATAGAAATAAAAATACAAATGGTTAAACTGATAAAACTTCTCTATTTAATTGTGTTAACTCTGTGACTGTTGTGAAAATATTGCCTTTACATTAAATCACTGTTTCATGTGAAGAGAGAAGGACCATACTTCATTTCATTTTGTGATTTTACTCTAAAAATTGTGGTTTTCCTCCATTTGCAACTAATTATATTTTCATTAATGCAATCTGTTGTATACACTCGTGTATGGGACTTTTAGCCTAAAATCTCTAATGAAGTTGAGACTGAATGTTATTAGTTTTAGTTCAATTAGTAGTGAAATTGACTTGAGAATTTCTCTTATGTTTGCCAGTTAACCACAAACATAAACTGCATCAGCAAATAATTGACTTGATTTGATCATTTCAAAATGTTTAAATGCCAGTGTGTCTTTACTAGTTGGTAATCTTATGGGTTACTCTAACATGTAATATTAATAGAAATTCATTTAAAAAATAGCCTTAAAGTAGATGTTCAGGGGCTCTACACAACAGTTTCTCTGTTGGTTCAACCTTGACAAAAATTAAAAAAATGTAACCGTGTAGTCATCTCGAGGTGATAGTAAAACTAAGCTGGTGGGTAGTGTTTATTAATAGGTATACCCAAGGGCATCGTTTACAAAGGGGATGGTGGGACATTTCCTCACTTCAAGTTTCAGATTGGTTTTGTTACCCAAAAAAGTATAGTTAAATCTATATTATTTACAGTTAGGAATAATAGATTGTCCAAAAAAGACGCCATACCTTTGTACACGCAAAGAGCTGTAGGTTAGCAGCAGCAGCAGCATTTCCTGTTGTTGTCATTACTGATGAATTCTCGAATTGAAATGTTCTTTGCCAATGACACAATGTAATTGTCATGGAAATCAATATTACATGCGCTGAAAAGCCAAAGTACATGGTTGTGGGTATAGTTTGCAAGAGGGATTCCGTTTTTGTCCATTCTATGAAGATACAGCTTCTTTATAATGTCTCCTAGTGGATTCACGGTTTCCTCATAATCTGCACGTCCAGATCCCAGGTGGTCTACACATGAGGGGTATGGGACCGTACAGCTGAGCTCACGGCCACACGCTGTGATGTCACTTACCGGATGAACCCGCAGCTGCCGTCGTTTCACGTCAAAACAATCCGGAAGATGATGCAGCATGACGGAACTGTTGTTTGGGGCTGAGACCGTTGAAGCTGAATTGACAACATGTCTGTGGTTTTAAGGACGGTGGTGGGACTTAACAATGTTGTTGAGTAGAAGACAAACATAGATAGTTGTATGAATCTGAAGCCAGTCAAGCGCGGGGTTTGGATTCAGAGTCCATGTTAAAATATCGTAGCAGTGTTAGCTCATCGCACACTGGTTCAGAGTCATCATGGGCAATGGAATGAATAAGGTAGGCTTTGGTTTCGTTTCATGTACAGGTGTTCAATTGTTGTCTGTGGCTTTTTAATGGTAAATTCTGCAAAGTGTAGCTGGTAGCTGCGTGCCTCCCCTAGTGTCGTCATTCAATCGATCACGTGACATGTTTTCCTCTCTCCCACACTGATATGATATAAATGGAAATAGACCAGAGACTGCTTTTTGGATAATGAGTGCAGAAGCCGTAAGTGCGGCAGATAGTTCACCTTTTGAATGTTTCATTAATGTTCAAACATCTACCAAGATTTTAAAATGATAATCCTCTGGGTTGAGATCTGATGACATTAGGTCATCTGGATTCTTATTTTTCTAGATTTCTGATTCATTCTTATGATTGTGTGATGATACCGAACCCAGGGCTGCTGTGTCTGACCTCTGACCCTTTGAGGGATTCATGCAACATTACTCTGAGGATCAAATCAATAGATTATTGCAACGTTGTTATTCTTTATTTTATCTCTCGGCCCAATTATGACTGTGGTATTTTTTTAACCTCCCAAATTACATTGATTCCCATTGCATTAGTTAGGCAATAGAAAGGTAGAATAAATTTGAGCACCGCATGTTTAACAAAAACTAGTAAATTTGAAATTGGTCTTAAATTACTTTGCACAAGTAGATAAATTGGCCATCTGTATTTCCATTCGTAATTGCCTCAATGGGCCCACCATACATTTTATTAGTGTAAATCCAGCTCTTAATTATCCTCAGACACCTTCTGCTTCATGGTACTAGTTCCAAAGTACAGCAACACTCATCACTTTGTCCTGATAATCATGCATCGTTGCTTCAGGCCTTGTATGGCTGTAGGGAATGATTTGCTGGTACTTGGTCCTTAAGCCCTAAGCCTTAAATCCAATCTGGCTCAACCCAGGACATTTGTTCCTTTTCAAGTGAAGATTTTGAAGCTAGACTGTTATAATATCTAACCTGAATGCAACATGTCTGTGACTGCTGCTTCACAGGTTGTCGATGGGCTCTACCTTGGAAATATAAGAGGTAAGACAAACATGATGCAACTTGATTTGATGTTTGTAAATGCGATACATACGTAGCTGGGTCAGGTTAGGCTTTCAGTACCAAAGGCAGAAGGCCACCATTATGGGCCATCAATGCATGTAGGAATGAGTGATGGGCGGATTGATACAGTAGAATATCACAACACCTTACCGTTAGTATTCTTAAACATATTGCTTTGTTTTGTAGACATTGTAATGCAGCACACAGTATTAACAATATGGACAAATATTTTGACAAAAACATTTTGCCCATATTCACTGTAAATGGTGAAAGGTTTTAACTATCAAACATCAGATGTTGTAGCTGAAAATAGTTCTTCTGTCAAAGATATATTTCAGAGTAAAGAGATGCTAACACCTCGCTGACCAACGACAGTTTAAAATAGAAACGGGTGGTGCCTCATGTGAAATGCACAGTCCTCTGTGTGTCCCTCCCTGGCCCCGAACAACCCCTTCCCAGCTAATGTGGCACTTGCAGGTTTCTAACTTTAGCTGCCGCGATGATCTCCTCACATGATGGCACATTGTGCATTGTGGCTAAAATTAGTTTGAATGACGGGAACACGTGACCACAGGGCTAACTGTACCAAATGATGTTGCAGGAGAGTAAACAGTTAACAGACCAGCCTCTGCAGCACTTAACAATCAAACTGGTTGTTGGTGTAACAGTCACTGACATGACTCTAAAATATATTCCTCTTTCTCTTTGTCCCAGATGCAGAAAATAGAGAAAGCCTTTCTAAGAATGGCATCACCCACATCCTGTCCGTGTACAACAATGCTAAACCTGTGTTTGAGGTTCGTGGAAAATCAATGTTGGTTGGGTCAAACTATCTGTACTTTTTGTGAAAACTTTACATTGAGATTTTGGCAGAACTTTGCATATAACAATGTGATGTATCATGTCAGCCAGCTGGGGGTGGTGATGAGTTATGGTTGGAGCGATCGAGTATCGTGCCTGAGATGGGCAGTTGAAATGCTTACTTGTGTGTGTGTGTTCACACACAGGAGGTAATAACTTTAGAAACAATGAGAAGTTTCTTTAGCCGCTCTAATGTAGTGTAATTACGTGGCAATGACTTAAGTGTGATGTATTTAATTCCTGGGCATTAAATGTATTATTCAACACTGTGTTTCTGAGTGTGATATTTGTAGCAGTGATTTATTACAGAGGGCCTTGTTATCCATTGTGCCTGAGCACAGCCCGCAAAATGTTCAGCATGTCACATCCAGGTGTCAGACAAATTCAAGTGTTCAGTCTGTTTCTAATGCTGGTCTTGAACTGTGAGTAAAATATATATTACCTTTGTATTAATTATAGCCCCAGAAAGCATTAATAGTTAAGAGGTTTATTGAGGGACTAGACCCACCTTAAGCTACACATTTACACAATGAATTATTCTGGGTTCCAGACCTAAAAGATATTGGGCTCACGTGGGATAGGTGTCACAGATGCTCACCTGCAAAACCTACCTGGGCTATCATTCTAGTCAATAATATAATAATAATGTAGGGGAAGATTTACAGGTAACATTCAGACATGTATGTATGGCCTATGTTCTTCAATTTTGTTTCAGTTGTTATGCATGTATGTTTTTCAGGACATGACGTATCTTTGTATTCATGCAGCTGATGCTTCCAGCCAGAACCTGTGAGTAAGCACATACACACACACTCAGACACAGATCATACCTCAGATTGTTAAAGTCATTGTCCGTGTGAACTTTGGAAGCACGGATGAGTCAGGCAGTATTATTTCAACACAATTACCCTCCAGATTGTGGCACCAGGGTGTGACGGCTGAATGCAAACGGTTAGAAATATCATATTGGGACTTTACAGTTTAGAAAACTGATTTTTTTTTTTTGTTTTTTATTACATGATTCATGTTGATAGTTCTTTGAATTTTGCTCCTTATCTCTTGACCTTTTAGAAGTAAAGTAGATCCTGCAACATAAAATTAAACATGGAATATTCCTAAAGATAGAGGTGTGTGTGTGTGTGTGTGTGTGTGTGTGTGTGTGTGTGTGTGTTAGAGAGAGAGGAAATAGTGTGTTTAATGTGTCATTGTTCATCAGGACGCAGATTCGGCGTTGAAAGAGGCATGAGCTGTCTCTCCACCCTTGCAGCGGCTGCTAACACAACGCATTAGTCATGGCATTTCTGTTATTTTTTGGTAGGGTCTTTTGACCCTGTGCAGCACTAGCAGTAGTAATTAAACATTTGACACTGGCTAAGGGCACAAAACAGAAGCATCAATCATGTCTTGCAGTTTGAGCATCTATGCAGAAGAGCAGTCTAACGGCTTGCGACTCCTGTTGATGATCCACTTTGAAGTTGGAGCTGGTGAGGGATTTTGTCATTGCAGCTGTTTTGGTGCCTTCCACTGGTTATTTGGGTAATTGGACAGACAGAGGCGTGATCTCAGAAAGTGTTGCATAAATCTCCAATATTTAAATCTCTATATTAAAATGGGGAGAAAGTGGGGACATTTTGATGCAAGATGAATAATTAACCTGCTGACAACGTAGGAAACAAAGATCAGAGGCACCAGAGGAAGGAAAGCCTAGTGTGACATCTGGCTGTTGGTCTCGACTCCCTCTGTCACAATCACTGGTGTGACTGACGGGAGTGGTGAGGCCAACTGACGCAACCCCGTGCTCCCACGCCAGACAGGGAGCCTTTGTGGCCAGGTCTGATTGCCCCTCCCATCTATAAGATCCACAGCAGGGATGGTTTTTGTCATGTTGACTCTTTTTTTCTGGAGCAACTGTAGCAGTTGGAAGCTGTCTGAAAAACCCTAAACTTCCTTAAAGCTTGTGTGTCTGTACTTTGGGATGGATGTCAGTAAGTCAGCTAAAATGACAACCTGCCAGAGCAAGGAAAAACTCTCACAAAACTTTATTAGATAAATCTTGGTCAGGGCTTCAGAAATATCCATTTCTATGATAGTTAGGGATGTAGTGGGTCACGAGTTGCCTGTCAATGTTATTGTAAAGTTGACACGCAGTGCAGTGATGTGATGTCATTCCTTCTAAATTAATACAAGATATTTAATTACCTTAAATGTTGATTTGATGTATTTGCTAACATGTACATGAACCTGATTGTGGAGGGCCAGGGATTCCCCTTCTTTACATTCTCATGACAAGCCTGCTATGGTTTTAATGCACAGTGTGCACTGACCATGAAGGTGTAAACTCATTTGCATCAAACATTTTCAAAATGAGATATGCATTTGTGCAAGGAGTCTGCATGTCCACCATGCTGTACTTGGTTTATAACTAAGAGTATGCCTTTGTTTTGTGTTCAATAGGATTCATTTTGCGTATAAATAATTAGATTGGATAAAAAGTCAACATGCCATAGAGTTGCACCAGCTATTTTTTTCATTTGGAATTGACATTAGTTCAACAGTTTGTTTCAGTATAATTCTCTATATTCAACTGGATAAAACCTCAAATGTTCTGCATATTAAGCAACACAGCTGGAAACCTCTGTGCTAGGAAGACAGAACTAAGTGCTTAGGAGACATCTTTTGAAGAGGACTTTGGATCTCAGGAAGGAGGAAAAAAAAAGTATAGTGGCAGTCAATCTATTTTCGCCCCAGTCTGTTACTCTGTCTGCTATTGAGTAACCAGCATCTGCTCTCAGGAGACAGTGCTATCAGCCATGCACTTCTTGATAATGCAAAACAGTGTTTCCTGACAGTGAACAAGTAGGATATTCGAGGAGCAGTTGCACCAGTGTGCTGCTTGATGTTCATTTATGTTTCAAAAAGCCTAAAATTCTCAGGATTTCTGTGATCTTAAGCAATGCGCAAATTTTTGTTTGTGTTTTTGGGGTTTGGGAACAATAAAATTTGTGCTTTTTATTGGCTTGCATATTTGAGAAGCGTCTTACAAGTGTGTTTGACACAACCTCAGTATGAGTAATAACTTTTTAGTTTGGAGGGCAGAAGCATTTCAACATGAGCGTTCCACCATAAGGCAGGAGGTTCATTTCTGTGTTTTTGATTTACTTTTGTAGACAGAGAATGAATGAATGAATGAATGAATGAATGAATGACTGAATGAATGTTGGAACCTGATGTTATTTTGCAGATAGACAAAAACGAGGACAGTTACTTCCCTTGTCTGTCCCTACTGTCTGAGCTTTGGTCTACCACAGATTTTCAGTTTGAGCAGACCTGACCTTTTTCTCACATGACAAATTGGAGTAGTTAAAGATAAATCCCTACTCCTCGACATTGTAACAAAAACCTATCAAAACTAACTGACCTATTCTGAGACCTGCAGTTTCTACAGTCAAAATCAGAACAGCATCAGGTTATCATAATTTCACCAACTTATTTGAAACATAAAGTCTGGGCCTCAACACAGGAGTTTCAGTTCAAGGTGTGCTTTCTCATATCCTTTACTGTGTAGTCTGTTTTGTTTTTTTTTAGCTTTACAACCCAACATCACTCCACCTTAGCAAAAACAAGCCAGTTTCCTGATTTAATGAGCAACAGTTAAAATGCTATTTTTTCAAAACATTCATTTCTTTATTTTGTACTGCTAAGTGCAGAAAAAAATGTGCTGTATAAAAGTTCCTTTGTTGTCCTTTATCTCTCCAGATTACAGCATTTTAAAGAATGCATCAGCTTCATCCATGAATGTCGCCTGAATGGTGGATGTTGTCTCGTTCACTGGTAAGCTTTTATGTCTAAATCTGTAACCAGCCTCCTCCTGGCCTCTGGGGTAGTCAAGACATGCCGTGTTCATTTAAAAAAAACTGCTCAGTACCTGTTCTGTTATTTACCTCTTATCTGAAAGAAATAAGGTGTTAAACATGAAGTTGCCTTATGACAACAAGCTGTGTGCTTTGCTTTGCTGCAGCCTCGCAGGTGTGTCCCGCAGCACTACCATGGTGGTGGCCTACCTGATGACTGTCACCCACTACAGCTGGGATGAGTGTCTGTCTGCAGTCAAGGCTGTTCGCTCCTTTGTCGGCCCAAACTATGGCTTCCAGCAGCAGCTGCAGGAGTACCAGACGGCACAACTCTCGGAGGTAAACACACAGATACCCACAGAGAGTATCCAGCCCCCTTTTACAGTTTGCAGCCTAAAGTCAAAGGGATTTTAAATTGCAGTCTTTAAGATTTTCTACTAAATATTCCACATTTTATAATGTTTTCCTCACAAGCATAGTGCTAGCTCTAGCTGTACGATATATTAGCATTCTGTAAATGTGACTTCTCACTTGTCTGATATTAGGAATTTCACCTCCACAGCTCTGTGAAGCTCAGTGGACTTCTTTTATTTCCATGATCTCACACTATTGGAGACAAAGTCCTGCCCTACAGTGGTCATAGTTGTCTACTTTCACTTTAAGGAAGGCCACTTATAGGAAATATCAGTTCAAACTTGGTTTCATATCCAATCTGATTTGGAGCATTTTTTTCCCATGCAGACAACATGCCGAACAACGTACCATAGAATACATGACGGATGCTTTTATTAAAAATACTGGTTCAAGACCACAATGGCTTCAAGTCATCAGAAAACTAGGACGCTGTGTTCAAGGATTATTTGTATTTTCACACTTTAGGTGTGAGGAAATTTGTACTTGCATTTTTATTTTGAACCATCGTATCCACAGCATTTTACTATTGGCAGTATGTGTTTTATATATGAGCACATTGTAGATAGCTGTTCACAGCTTTAACATTCTGCAGCATTGTAGTTACTTGAAGGCACCGTGTGATCCCATTACAGTGGCACTGACCCAGCTGCTGAGTAGAGAAGGGGAACTGCAGGGGGTTTGCTCGGATTGCATTAGCTTTGTACTGCTCATCACGTGTGCAGTGTTACTGTCAGCATCTTGCAACATAACATGACTGAAAAAACGCTCGTTGTTTGTAGATTTTGCACTGATTTCGAGGATTTAAAGGGAAACGGTATTTCTGTATTTGTGCTTTCCCACATCTGTGAATCCTCAGATAGAAAGTGAGGAATGCTGAAGACAACAATGTAGTTTAGTCACTAATGCAGCAGTAAAACCTGTGAAATGCACTGAAGTTCACATCCCATAACTGTCTTCTTGCAGGTTCAATGAAAGGGAAAAAAAGTGTCAACTTTGCGGTCTAGAAACATACTGTAATAGTCCAGAATAGGGTGTGGGAAAAAAGGCTCCCACAATTATTCAAATTGGGAAAGAAGGCCACATGGAATAGCTCCATTAGCCAGGTTTGTAATTGTAATTTGTCTGGTGTGGTGGTGTCAATGTTCCATGGATTTTCAAGATGAGAGAAATACAGTAACTTAACTCTTTTTAAAGAAAAGTGTAAGAGATGTTACGGCAAATCCTGAGTCTCACGTGACTGTGTGAGCAAGAACCTTGGCAAAGGCCGTCTGCCCTGCCCTCTCCTCCCATCCGTCAAGTTTTGATTCATCACCTCCTACTAAGAAGAAACTGAGTATATGGATTATTATTTCATGGCACATTTTATATTGTAAAGTTCAGTTCAAACTATTCAATCAACTTTGTACTCACAGTTGTATTTTTGGACCCTTTTATAAAATGAAAACTTATTTAGAAAACAAGTCAGATCCAATGTGATCAAGTTAATTCAAGACTTATGACAGCAAAGTTATGTGGCTTCATGACAAACAGACCCAAGACATCAAGCACAGATCACATAGTACACAGAATACATAGTACACAAATTCTGTTTAAAGACACTGCACTGTCTGTGTATGGTACCACATTTCAAATGTCTCCATTTACATTTTTGTTTTGTGTAGATTTATAGCTGTGAACTAAATAAAATGTTGCCTGTCAAAGCCATTACATGTTTGCGTGAAATATATAGTCGGTAAGATATTAAATAATGCATGTATGTTTTTGTCTGTCCTCTTGTCCCCAGTACCGAACATGGTTACGCTCCAGTTTCCGTCCCAGTCCATTTAATGACCAGGAGCAGGTGGGTGCCCTGCTGAGCCAGTACACAGAGCAACAGGAGAGCCAGAGGAGAGGAGCAGACCGACGCTGGGCCAATCAGGATGGAGGCGTCTCTGCTCGGCTGTCAGACCCGGCTGATCCTGAAAGCAGCAGCTGAAACATGGGCCGCTGATCATGCTAAAGTCCTGCCCAAGGCTGTCTGTAAATGGCAGTACCTATCATTCTGTACTCGATTCCAAATCAACCCCAAGTTGTATCCAACTTTAAGGCCTTTGTACAACTCTGAAAGCATAAGATGAAATATCTTTCATACTTTAATTACAGCTGTCAAATCATTTTAATCTATGGAGGTTGATTTAGAATTGGGCCACAGACTCTTATCAACTACCAGTACCTTTCTTGCTCATTTCACTGAGTACAGCCACAATCGGGGTATCGGTGCTCTCAGACGCCTTACTTCTAAATACTTCAGCACCTTAGCCATGATGAATAAACTACACTCCCATGTGGACTCTTTACATTGTCCAGCTTGGTAGCCTTAAATAAGTGACTGATTATGCTGCCATGAAGGAACATTTTGTCTCCAATTTGGTGCCAATTATTCTAAGCAGTTATTCTGACATGTACCAGTTTGTGTCCAGACTCTTAATGGTACACTCTCTGATCAACACTGGAGCTGGGGAAGTTGGCATAGTTGCCGGGCTGACAGCATACAATTTGTTATGTGCATCCTATGGAAAGCAAGCACTGCTGCTTGCCTGTCATATGTGTAAACACTATTGACTTTGCAATTACCAGTAAAACACACAGTAAACAAATAATGGTCATGGTGTTGTTCACAAATACGCTTGCTGCTTCATGCAACTAGGAGTAACATCTGGAGTAAGTTTCCAAATTGGTAAAATGTTCCTTTAAATAATACATAGGTTGAGATGGAAAGCTACATAAAGCGTTGCTGAATTAAACTACAACTACATATATATATAACTATAATGCGAAAGTCTTCCTGATTTTACTGAATCTCTGATTTATCTTTTTATTGTGACAAAGCTGATTTATACATTATGGGTGTTATAGATGAATGGCTATAGCCAATTCTTTTAACTGTATTCATGGTGTTTTTGTTTGTTTTATACTAAAATGAAGTGGAAATGCTAATAAATCTGTACTATCATCACTATGGTATGTGTCTGTGTATGAGTAAAAGTAATTCTGGGCAGAGAAGATTACTATGTACGTGTTATTGTATTTCACAGCTCACTTCTAGATAAGCTGCTTGTCTCATGGGGCAGCTTGACAAAAAAAGAGAAAGCAGAATAGCTTTTCTTGAATGTCGGTCCACGTTGACGATTTGAGAGGTTCCTGGGTTGTACTCAGCAGATCCCCTGCTAAAGCTGCTTTATACTAAGACCCAGGGTGTGCAGGTTCATGAAAAAAAAACCTGTATTGTACATGTTTTACTACCAGACAATAACTATCAACGATAAAAAAAAAGAAATGCTTAAAACACTGTGAGTTTCTTTTAATTTTAAAAAATTAGTTAATTACACAAGAGAAATTACAACAAACCATTATATCAAATTATCAATGAAATATATAATTCTACATTTTATACACAATATAAGAAGACTTCACAGGAACAGATCAACCGGTAAAATGAAATCAAAACCATATTTAATGAAAGAGTTATTATGGATTACCTGATGACTAAGAAGGTACAATTGGCAGATGGTATCGCTCAGCAGCTGTATTACTCAAGTGGTGAGCGATATAATCTGTCACCAGATAAGATTACTACTACAGTGACTTTGAATGGCTCACATTATTGTACTGTGAACATACCTAAATCAATAACACAATTCATATTTTCATTCTCTCGTTGGTCCTGAGACACATCAAGTCTACTGAAACTTGTCAGAAATGCATCGTCAATGTTTTCACTTTCTGAAGAACATCAACATGCTCTCATAAAATCTTCCAAGGAATACATAGTCACTTGTTTACATGGAATTCATTTCTGTGGGGGAGGCCAGTGGGGTTGTATTAAAATCACTTTAGTGTTTTTGGCTTACAAATTGTAATGAAGTTAAATTGAAATTGAGTTTATTTGTATAATATTCCCACTAACCATATGTGCTAATAGACCTTTCATGGCTGACAAGATGAATTGTGATTAGGCATTAATATGTGTATATGGTCAGGTGTCGTGGTCAGGGGAAAAATGCCTGAAAAACTTTCTAAAACTTTCTAAAACCTGAGCTAATGTCTTGTGTCCAATTAATCGCCTAAAACTCCAAAATGATTGATTCACTATCACATAAGACTAAGAGAAACAGCAAACCCGCAAAACTGAGAAGCTGAAACACGGGAATGTCTGCTTTAAAATGACAAAAGATATTGAATATATTTTCTGTCAATCAAATAATCAATGAATTGACTAATGTATTCGCTCAGTCCCAAAAGAATATTACAGGGATGATATGACTTTATGGAGGAAATGATAACTTGCTCTGTTAAAAGAAACCATCATTTATATTATGTATTATCATTACTTGATTGGCGTTTGACCCATGAGCCGGATGATGATGGTGGACAATTATAATTTGATTTATTTGTTAGCCCAGTGTGAATCCTTCTGATGACAAGCACGGATATTATTCAGAACAACATTTTCCTAATTACTATTCCACCATCATAATTAATAGACAAGGTTGTCTCCTAGGACATCTGGCATCAGCCTACTGAACCAGCATGCAGATCTGTATAGATAGTGTACCTGATCTATGTTTCTCAGCAGTAACCTACTGAGTGGGTGTCAGCGGGACACATCACCTTGAGTTAGACCGCAGAAATCCCCCACAGCACAGGGTAACTTGTGACTCTCCGGGTTTATTCAGCGCTCCGCATCTGCGTAACTATTCGCGTGGGCAGCAGCTTTACAACCTTCGCTTCTGTCAGGCCATTTCTTGTAAATGCCCGCAGTTAGGAGAAAAAAACTCTTCCGGAATGGGTAGGTCTACTGAAGCTTCAAGCACTCATTGGTCAGCGTGATGCAGCGTTGTCAAATCATGTCCCAGCGATCTCATTCATAACACGGAGAACAATAAACTCGATTGGCATGTTAGAGGGTGAAGCTGAACTCACTTGATTAAATCTGACAGGCAGCCATCCATCAGCGTCTCTGGATAACAGCTCAACCAACTGTAAGTGCTTTTACTTTTGATTTCTACTCTAAGGGTGAACGTTGTAGAATACAATACACGTTTAGTTTTACATACGAATTATATCCTCATCATTTAGGTACAAGGGAACAATCCAAAAACAACTTTTCTCCATCAAGATGTCAAACTCGGGAGGTCGGAGACTGAAGCAGTGGCTGGTGGAGCAGATCCAGAGCGGGCAGTACTCCGGACTGCAGTGGGAGGATGAAAGCCGCACTATGTTCCGAATTCCATGGAAACACGCAGGGAAACAGGATTACAACCAAGAAGTAGACGCGTCCATTTTTAAGGTATGACAGCACTCTCGTCTAGTCCCGTCGATAGAACAGCCTACTGTAGACGCAGTTTTACTTTTACGCAGCGCTGTGCGTAAAAGTAAAACTTGATCACAAATCTTGAGTCTTGAGTTCTTTTGTGGTCCGATGTAAATAATCATTTATACCTTTACATTTCATTGTTGTAACTTTTTTGTAGCATATCAAACTTAATCCTTCCACACTTTAAAAAAATGTAATAAATTAATTTTATTTTTAGATAGTAATACAGCGAAAGTCATGTAAAGCATGTAAAGTTATTTTAATATAAAATATCAATTTGTAAATGTTAAATTGTAAATGCCAATATTGATATTAATGTAAATCAGACTTTATCTTTCTCTTTCTTTCTGAGGGTTGAAAAAAAATGTTTTTCTTGTAGCATCCAACTTCTAATACACTACCATATTTAATATTTTGTTTTTCCCTTCACAGGCCTGGGCTTTGTTTAAAGGCAAGTTTAAGGAGGGGGACAAGGCTGAGCCTGCAACATGGAAGACCAGACTCCGCTGTGCCCTGAATAAAAGCCCTGACTTTGAGGAGGTGACAGAAAGGTCACAGCTGGACATCTCTGAGCCCTACAAAGTCTATCGCATTGTACCCGAGGAAGAGCAGAAGAGTAAGTTTGTGAAAAATTGATCTGTCCTCAAAGTCAGCATTGATGACCTTTAACAGATGTTGCATAGTGCTATCATTATAATTGCCAGCGCAGTGCATGTTGTGCCATTAACCGAGTCTTCGTGTATTCTTCTTTCACCTACAGATGGCAAAAGCTCAGTGATGACCATGACAGCTATCAGCTCTGGTGATATCACTGACATGGACTGCAGCCCTGCAGAGATAGAGGAGCTCATTAAAGAGGTGAGACTACCTCACAGTTTAAATTATTTATTTAAACATAAACCTTACCTCTCTCTCTCCTCTCAATCAAATCTAATACAATCGATGCACCTTCCCTTTATTTTCATTCAGCTTTGGGTCACTTTTTTTCTGATTACCACACTGTGCTCTCTACTCCAACACATGTTGCAATGAGCCTGCCCAGCACCCACTTGGTCTACATGATTGTATACAAAGGTTCTTTTGTTGACAACAGCTTCTTACGTTGTTGTCTTTTTGCAGGAGGAAGGCTGTAGTATACAGGCCAGTCCAGAGTATTGGTCCCAGGGCAGCATCAATGGTAAGACAATATTTTCTAGTTAATATATAACATACTCCCCTGACTAAATTAAGCTGTTCACAGCACAGTCAGTGTTGTGGCTAGAAGCTGCAACACATCTTAGCGTTGTGTGTTATTTCTCGAGTAAGACTGTTTGTTCATTGAGAGGTATGATCTTTAATGACTTCGTTTGGAAATAACCCCAGTGGAAAGCTAAATGGCATGTCCCTGTGATTGTGGGTGCTAAATAGAGGTTATTTGCTTGTCTGTTGAATTCTGCAATGGAAGAATTGACTAACATCCTGTTGAAGTCTGCTGACTAAGAGGATTATTTCATTTTGAGATCCTGCTAGAGAAACTGTATTTCTGATGATGCAACAAAATAATGACATGACAGTGTGGTCGTGCATGTCCACTGTTGTAATAAAGGCCTTAACTCATAATTTTCCTTCTGTATTTCACAGCTTTCCCTCATCAGGACCCTTTGCCATCAAGCAATCTCAGCTCAGGTATTCATTTATGCTATCCATGAAAGCGTCACAATAACATCAGATCTATAGTTAGACATGAACAGTAATAATAACACCACAGGCTGTTTGCATTTCGACATTTGCACTTATTGTTTTCCATTTGCAAAGCTCACCAAATGTTCTCTTCTCTAGCTTTCTCCCAGATGATGATCAGTTTCTACTATGGAGGAAAATTGATGCACACCACACCTGTAACTCATCCTGAAGGCTGCCGGATCTCCCCACAACAGCACCTGGGTCGTGGAGCGCTATACAGTTCAGACAGCTTGCAGAATGTTCATTTCCCTCCTGCTGAGCTCATCGAATACGACCGCCAGCGCCATGTCACACGCAAGCTCCTGGGCCACCTGGAGAGAGGTGTACTGGTCCGTGCCAACCAAGAGGGCATCTTCATCAAAAGGCTGTGCCAGAGTCGGGTCTTCTGGAGCGGGCTGGGAGAAGGGGGCTCACAATACAGCCCCATGCCTTCTAAACTTGAGAGGGATGCTGTAGTCAAGATTTTTGACACAGGAAAGTTTCTTCAAGGTGAGCATCTATGTTTTTTCAGTTATTTGAAAGCTCAAAACACATAATATTTCTAATCAATGCTTAAAACAAGCAAAATCATAATGGAGGATTGATAACTGGCAACGATTGTTTTAACAGCTGTACTTTGTATGTTCCAGCTCTACAGATGTACCAGGAGGGTCAGTTTCCTGCTCCTGATCCGGCAGTGACTCTGTGTTTCGGTGAGGAGCTGCATGATCTGAGCAATGCCAAGAGCAAACTGATCATTGTGCAGGTAATACCAGTCAAATCATAATATGCGTCCCACTCAAATCCAAGACAGAAAAAGACCAATCACTGCAAATGATGTTTGTTGACCAAAAAAACACATCCTTCTGTCTGCTCTCCCAATGGCAGATCACTATGGTGAACTGCCAGCACCTGCTGGAGGCAGTGAACATGCGTCGCTCCCAGCCTTACTGCACCAACCCGAACCTGGAGATGTCTGATAATGTGGCCAGTGACCAGATGGCCCGCATCTACCAGGACCTGTGCAGCTACAGCGGCCCGCAGAGGCCAGCCTGCTACAGGGACAACATGCCCATCACCGCCTGAAATGGGAGCAGCAACATACCTGCCAGGAGCTCTTCAGCATGGACCACACTGAATGTACAACATATTACAGACATTTCTTATTTTCCTAACATACAAGGTATTTCAGGTAAATGCCAGTATTACAAGTAGTTTTGACTTTTTAAGTTTATACCAAATCACAGTGGAGACATAAATATAAGGAGTAAAGCTCTTACAGTAAAACTTTTGAAATGCAGCTCAATATTAGGATGTCCCAAATATTTTGTATATCAGTAATTTCTGTTGTTGTACAGCGCTAATACAAACTCTATGTCTAGCTTCTGCTTTTTTAGTATAAGAGAGTGTTTTCATCCAGCTCAAGAGAATAAGTGTTATATTTTCATGTTACACACATCTCAAGAACATATTTTATAAATATATATATATATAAAATGTTATAATAGTTTTGATACATACAATGATTTCCGTAGTTTTGATGTATAGAATTTAATTCTCAAAGCTGAATTCACTTTTTTGTTTTTGCCATTAAGATGGTAATGGATGGAGGAGATGGATTTTGTTTTGATAATTTTCTATTTTCTTTACAGTAAATGAAAAATCTTTTTATGACTTGATAAAAAATTGCATGCTATTTTAAATGCAATGTTGCATTATATTACAGATAGGTTTTACTATCAGATTGGTTTTTTTTAAACTGCATTTCTAGTAAAACTAAGTTTGTTCTAAACTGCACGTGCTTGTCTTTATAATGATTTTGTTTTCTTTCATTTTGATCGCTTCATTATTACAAAAGTGTCCAAAACCAAATGTTCCCCAGGATGAACATAGGACCATGTTTAAGCTCAATAGCCACAAATTACATCTGGTTTCAATTGCTGTCAAAAGCATACAATATGTTAGGTAATATGTCCAGGTAGTCATTTCAACCGTTTCATTTATCTTTTCACAATTAAAATCAATGTGTGGAACTATGAACTTATACTGTAACTGCATAACCAACATGGATAACATAACTTTGACACAAACGATAGTAAGCTTGATGTTTGCGGTGGATTACCTATGCTATGCTATGCTATGTCTCTGCAACTTGAAACCCAAGTGAAGTGAAAACACACCATTGGTGCATGTCAGGTGGGATATGGCAAAATTGAATAACAAGTAATTCTGCCGACAGCATATTTTCTGTCTCACAATTAATGCTTGACTGACTTTATCTCGCGCTTGATAGATGAAATATTCAAATCTACACTACTGTTTCAATGTCTGCACCATTAGATTAAGTTAAACACTTAATAATAACTGCCTTATGCATACTTTAATTCATAAATCCCCATAATCTAGTCCAATTCATGAAATATGTTGATATATATTTATGATCTTAATAAGGATTTGAAACTCTGAACTTTGAACATTGCTTGGCTGCACACAATACAAATATTTGTGGGGATGAAGGACATTTCACATTCATTTACAATTTTTGCAGACATGTGAAATTATAATATGAATTTCATATTGTCTGCGACAATGAGGAATTACTAAAGATTGAATTTAAACATTTTGTTTAAAAAATGTTTTATCGCATTATCAGGAAACTCTTTACTAAAAAGGCTTTTAGTTCTTTTCGTTTGACTACTTTGCAGTTTATAGAGGAAACTCCTCCACTACCTTCACTATGAACACATACTGTTTATTATTATTCCGGATCAGGAATGATGAAACTAAAAGACTGCATGAAACTAAAATGAGGATTTAGGCTACTTAAGGCAGCTAAACTCTCCCCCCTCCTACATGTCCCTGCTGAGTAACAGAGAAAGGACAAGAAGAGAGGTGACCAACTGGAGCCGAATGATTCACGATGAGACAACGATATCCCTTCTTCTTCTTCTTCTTCTTCTTCTTCTTCTTCTTCTTCTTCTTCTTCTTCTTCTTCTTCTTCTTCTTCTTCTTGTCCTGTGCCTCGCACAGTTGGTCATTAAAGACCAGGGGGCAGATGACAGTGTCATCTCACACATCAAACTGGGTGAATAGTGGAAATATTGGCAGGGAATTGCACACAACCTTTTTGGATTAAGCGATATGGAGACACACAGACACACACAAACACACACGGACACACTGTAAGGTGATATCCAAACCGAAAGAAAGCCTGTCTCAGGGGAAATTGTCTGAATACCTAAAAAGTGTAATCATAAATACATGACTATAAGGTCTCTAAATAAAAAGAATACAACTTGTATTCCCACACAATAAATTACTTGTATATAAACATATTTTTAGAGGCTGTGTAGCTCAGTCAATTTCTTATTTTTAATGAAAAGTATGTCTGCTGTAATGACTCACACAGATCACATAGTGCAAGAAGTCATGTGCTTTTCACATGACATCTCTGGATAAAACCTTTCACTTAAATTAGAATATCTAATCAATGGTTCACTGACTAAAAACACAGGTGGGATGTTGTGGCTGTGTATGTGTGCGTGTGTGTGTGGTTATCTACAGGGGAGTTCTGTCAGTTCCACAGAACAGGAACTTACTTCAAAAACTGTCACAGGAAACTCTACCCTCACCCCCCAAATAATATGTCTGAGACTGGATTACCATAATGTATTTAGGATACACATCGTCCATGTAAACAGGGATATAAGTACTGTACTTGTGAACTTGGAATTACAGTCCTGTACTGGTACAAATGTTAGTTTGAATAATCAATATCAAAAGACTGGAACCAGCTAGCCATGCTCTGTCCATAGATAACAAAATCAACAAAAGCAATTGTTGTTTCTTTACTTCTATGTAGATTTAACAAATGAGACACAAGCTTACAATGTTAATTAGTGAGCTTTGGAGGTGATGGTAGATTTTGTTACCTTTGGTCAGAGCCATGCTGGCTGTCCCTCCCTGTTTTGCAGTCTATGTGCCAAGCTAACCCGCTGGCAGTAGCTTAATGTTTACCCTACGGACCTACATTGATCTAACTCTCAGCGAGAACATTAATAAGTGTGTTTCACAAAAAGGTGACTTAGTTTTAAATGTGGATGATATGTCTAATGTTTTTGCCAGTATTTTAGCTATATATCTTATCAGACAGTCCACAATATTAATTTCCTCCAGATACTTGTTTCAGTAAGCCAGCAAAACCTGGTGTAGGTAGATAATAGATAAATACTGTTTTCTCACAGTGAAGGACATGATATCAAATGATCTGTTTTTCTCCTGAGGTTAACACAGGGTGCAGATGTGAATGTGTCTGAGAAGAGAGAGTAAAGTAAATTGTAAAGGAGGAGACACCATTTTCCAAGAGTAGGCTACTTTTACTTCTGATATGCAGTTTATTGAAAATAAGTTTTACTTATGTTGCAATTTGATCACACACAAGTAAGTTGTGTTGTTGACACTTTTATTTAAGAGCAAGATTGGATTTTATTTCCCACCCCTGCCGGGAGTGCAGTAGGAAGGGAAGGAAACACATGCTTGTGTGCATTTCTGCTAACAGAGTCTCTTTTCTGTCACATTTCCAGTGTTGTCTGCAATGTGGTTCTCTTTGTATTGCAAAATCTCCTTGTGGTGTCTGAGGCTTCCCACAATAAATCATTAGACAAACAGAACTGATGTTGCCACCATACGTAACCATGAGCATCTGCTCCATAACATTTCAATATGCCGTGTTGTACATTAGCCACTAAAAGGAAGCAGCGCCTATTTTGTGAAAAGCAGCGCTTCAAGGAAATCACGCAACAAAAAGAAAGAAAGAAATAGAATTACTGCAAACTCAAAGTTTTCCTGATAGATTAAAGGAATTACTTTATCTATTTTTGTTGTTTCCTGATTTGTCAGTTTTGCTGACTCCTCAGTCCTTTTAAGCCATGTCCCTGTTTGGCTGCAGGCTCAGCACTAACCTTTCAGTTGTTGTTCTCCACTGCACGTATCAGCTCGATTTTAACATGAACAATCGCAAGTTGTAAATAAAAATACCTTCATAAAACATGTTAACAAATTGTTACTTGTGGTTTAGTATATTTAAGAAGCATTTTGTTTCTCTGAAAAATATCTTTAATTCAATGAGTGTAACTATAGGCCTCATCCATGTTGTACCAGGTAAGACACAATATATGCAAAGAATACTGTGGAGGGAAGTTGTGATTTACCATGAACAGGTTGTGTTATGCAAGCGGCAGTGTTGGATGCGTTGGTGGTGTCTCTGGGGAGAATGGTTTAGAATCAGTGTGGCTGAGATGAGAATAGGCATCCAGAGAGGAACTGGGAGAGCCCTGAGGACGCTGTGAGTTGGAGACACAGGTGGACGGGGAGCCCACATCCTGGGACGCAGGGAGAAAGCCACCTAACCACACATGTTGTGTACACACACACACACACATACTGGTAGCCCCTGATCAAGGATCATATCCTCTAATCAGTATCAGTTCATGTCCTTCAAACCAAAGGTCCCTAAAGCCTTGCACTTATAAAGGTTTTCTTCGGGGTTAACTGTTAATGAATTGTTGTGAAAAGATCTTCTATCTTCATCTATTGAAGACAACAAGAGAGATAGCGAAATGTGCAAAAAGCAGAAATAATATGATGTCGCAGGAAAGATTTCACATGTAAAAGTGAAGATAAGGAAGTATGTGGATTTACGGGAAAGCGGTTTATTGTAACCTGCCATCAAACTATCAAATATCAAGATGTTATGATATCAGCATCAAGCTGCCTTCCCTCAGTACAGTGTGATTGCATTTTTACATCTGATTATCCAGTGCTCAGGACCTCACAAGTACAATAAGATAAAAGCACAAAGGCTATCTTTGTAGCTATTTTTGTGAGAATGTTTTTGAAGGTAAATTGAGTGACTCACGTGTGACTGATCTCACAGGGATTCATGAAGAGAGCTCACAAAGTTTTAAATAAACATAGGACAAATCAGTAAACAGATAAATATAAATACAATTGTAGGAATAACTATATGTAAACTCTGTTATGTGTAAAGTGACAGACAGCCCTGGATTCAAAGTAATATTAAAGAAGGAGACTGGGTACATTGTATGTGAATCAGCGGGTGAGGCGACAGCTGAGAATTGCATCAGTCTCTGTCCTGGTTGCTGCACTCTTTGACAAGAGTGATCCCTGACCGCCTGATCGGTCTCTGGACAGGAAACACAGGAAAGAGCCCAGGAAGATGTTCCAGCACACAACTTCTCCACTGAAAAGAGGAACAGTCAACACAGAGTCAGTAGAATAAGATTTAGACAACTTGTAAACTTTAATTTATGCGAGTTAAATATGAATGGGAGGGAATCCACACAGTTTTGATGAGATTGACAATTCGATTATTTGTTTCAGTACCTTGGAAGTACAGCGTGTGGGGCATTGGCACAGAAATACTCTCAGCTTGTTTATGACTAAAATCCATACATGTTGTACTTCTGTTTCATATTCAAGAAAAACAAAACTTATCAGTAGAAAAAGAAGGTGATGGGTGTCGAAGTGGAGGGGAAGACCAGGGTGGGGTACAGTCCCTGGGGAACAAAAGCCAGGGGAGCATGAGAGCTGTATTGACATGCAGCTCACAGCTCAGTGCTCATTGTGTGTGTGTGTGTGTGTGTGTGCATGCAAAGTACAGAGGTGACGGGATGTGGCCAGAAAGGTGATAGTTATGAGGTAACCGAAAGATACCTGAGAAACACATTTTCTGCCGTCTCAATAGATGTTTTGAATTTACTCCTTTTATGAA